GGGGGGGGGGGGGGGCGCTACCACGGTTATACCGGCGGTTTCAAATGTGACCGCCAATCAACTACATGTTCCATGGACAAAAGGCGGCTAGTGCGTTGATGTTGTGGGATACTCGAGAATTTGAAAGGCATGCCGTAGCTGCCAGACTATTGACCTCGCACCCCTACATTATTGCCGGGATGACGGCGCAATGGACACATGCCGGGGAGGAGGGGGGTGTACTCTCGTGATCGGCCATGCCTTGGTTGCAGCTAGACCATTGGCCACTTGTCCTCTCGAGAGAGGACGGAGCGTCATTCCCACGGGGCCGATCGCCGATGGCCAAACGTTCCTTCCTACTTTGCCAAAGATGGTGGGGGGGGGACACACAATGACGACAACGCCAACAATCAAAACCACCGACATTAACAATACTACTGCTGGCTGATATCGCATTCAAATGGTGTAAAACTCCCGGGGATGCACACAAAAAACTAAGACGACAGCAGCCAACGCTAGCAGCAGCAACGACAAAAGCAGCAGCATCATCAGCACGGAAGCTGCTACGGTTGGGGGCCGAGCTCTGATGGGAGCGAAAATGGTGACGGGAGCGAGCGATAAGGTAGGGTAGGAAACCAAGTAGCGGCACGGCTTGCGTATCAGAGGGTTCACGGTGCAGCAAAAACAGCGGCACCATCATCATCAACAACAACAACAGCGCTATCAACAACCACACCGACAAACAACATCATTACCATCATCATCGTCAATAACCAACAACATCATTACCATCATCATCGTCAATAACCAACATCATTACCATCATCATCGTCAATAACCAACAACATCATTACCATCATCACCGTCAATAACCAACATCATTACCATCATCATCGTCAACAACCAACAACATCATTGCCATCATCATCGTCAATAACCAACAACATCGAGAACACCATCATCATCAACACAACACCATCATCATCATCATCATTAACAACATCATTACCATCATCATCGTCAATAACCAACAACATCGAGAACATCATCATCATCAACACAACACCATCATCATCATCATCATTAACAACATCAACGTATCAACATCAACGCCATCACTATCAACAACCACACCAACAAACAACAGCATCGTTATTATCATCATCATCATCATCATCATCATCATCATCGTCAACAAACCCAACAACATCGAGAACACCATCATCATCAACAACAACACCATCACCGTCGTCATCATCATCACCGACCACAACCAACACCATCAACAACAACGCTACCCTTCCCGTGTGGCCCGAGGTGCCATGGGGATAGCGAGCGAGCGACAAAGCGGTACGGGTGCTGCCGTGGAAGGGTCACAGGTCACAGGGTATACCCGTGAAAAGGTATTGAACCCGCGGGTCACCCGCCCCCCCCCCCCCCCCC